GGAGGAGGAGGAGGAGGAGGTGGACGAGGAGGAGGAGGAGGAGAAGGAGGATAGCGAGGGCTGCTTTGGTTGTGTGAGGGGCCCGCGGTTCCTCAGGCTCCTCTTTGGGCTTCTCTATCGCACGCTCCTCGAATACGTACGCGCAACTATGGCCAGCATTGGGTCCTCGTTCCTTGTTGCAGCGGCCTCGCGGCCAGTTTCGCGGACAGTGAGGAGTGAATTGTTGGGGGGCGCAGGAGGCGCAAGGGGGACGGGGGCAAATGGCAGTGGTGGCTTTAGTTCGAGGCCGAACACGGGGCTTCCTTTTCTATTTCTGGGCCCGAGCCCCTTCTACTACTCCTCTTCCTCCTCCTCCTCCCTCCATCGACCGGGCCAGCTTCACGCGTTCAGGGGCAGCCCGAGTTGATCCACAGCGCCAGCTGACGCGTGAACGGTTGGTCTGTGGGTTGCGCCTGGCGGGGTAGAAAAGACATCCTTACAGTCGAGCGTCTGATTAAGAAACTGCCCCCGAAGAGCTGGGCCATCGTTTCTTGACCGATTTGCCAGGAAACTGGCTCGGTTTTTTGGGCGCGTTCGCCTCTCCAGCGTCAGCAACAGAAACTGGCCCAGGCTTGTTTCAAGACATTTCCGTTCAGGCTCCATCTGCCAGGGGTTCGACTGCGTCACCCATCCAGCGCTGCTTCCGCTGCGGTTTCGTGACGGAGGGCGGCGGTGGTCCGCTCCGCGCAACTGCTGGTCGGCTCTTCTTCTGTCTTTTTTCTTTTTCTTTTTTTTTCTTATTCTTCTCCTTCTTCTGTCTTCTTCTTCTTCTTCTGTCTTCTTCTTCTGTCTGTGGTACTGGCAGGCACGTCGACCCAGGAGCTGGGCCTGCCGGCAGGTGCCCCGTCCTCCTCCCCTTCCTGGGCTGGATCTGTACAAGCTTCTCCGCCCCAGTAGTCTTCTCAACGAAGAGCTCCCGTGGGCTGTCCTCCTCCTCCTCCTCCTCCTCCTCCTCCTCCTCTTTCCTTCCCCTCCCATTTCCTCTCCTCTTTCCTTCCCCTCCCGCCCTCCATCTCCCTCTTCCTCTCCTCCTCCTCCTCCTCCTCCTCCTCCTCCTCCTTCTCCTCCTCCTCCTCCTCCTCCTCCTCCCTTCCCCTCCCCTTTCCTCTCCCCCTCCATCCCCTCCCGCCCTCCGTCCTTCCTCTCTCCTCCCCCTCCCTGGCCTCCTCCCCCCCGCTCCCTCGGAGGAGGTTGGGACGCCGATGCCGCTGCTCGTCCTGGAGAGCCCTCGCCGGCCACGGCCGGAGTCGCCTCGGAGCGAGCCTGGGCAGGACGCGCCCAGGGAGCCTCGGCCCGCCCGGGTGCTGGCAGCCCTCTCGGCCCCGAGATCTCTCCGCAGCGCGTGTCGGCGAGACGTAGAGGCTCAGGGCGGAGGACGTCCTCCTCGAGGTGCCCAGACGTCATCGCGTCGGAAGACGATCACGACGGGAGGCTTTGGGCCATTTTCGGCCTCCGGAGGGCCTCGCCGGGCCCCGGGGCTGTCAGAAACGTATCCAGGATGAAAAGCCGGCCCCGGGGAAAGGGTCAGGATTTCGACTACACGTAAGAGTGACCATTCGCTGGAGTGACCTTTGGTGCGGGCACATTGGGGTCCCTCGACCGCCGAACGCGATACGGTAGTAGCGTCTTGCACGCTTGTTTTAGGCCTCCCCGCGACCAAAGGTCACACTTACCCAGGGTCGCTCCTGCGTGTAGCCGATACTTCTTCACAACTAATTCGGGAATCGTGCTCTCGCCGCAATGCCGGCCATATTTTCGCTCTAGACGGCCACGATCTCCCTGGCAGAGAGGCGCACCGAGGTGCAGATGGCCCTGACTGGCCTGCTGCTATCAGGGCGCCCTGCTGGGGCAGTCGTTCCCCCTCCTCCCCTCCGCCTCTCCTCCCGCTCCCCGCTTCTCGCCCCCCCCCCCCCCCCGCCCCCGCCCCTTCCTTCCTGCCCCCCCGCCCTTCCCCACGCAGGGAACGGTGGGACGCAGCGCCCCTGTCCAGCGCCGCGGTGGCGGCGCGGGGTGGCTCGCAGGCCCAAGGGGGGCGCTGATGCGCCCGCCACGGGGCGGCCACATCGCCGTCCCAGCGCCCACACCTGAAGATGTCCGCCGAGAGAGGTCCCTCCTCCCCCCTCCTCCCTCTGCCCCCCTCCTCCTCGTCCATCCCTCCGTCCCTCTTCCTTCCTCTCCCTCCCGTCCCTCCCTCCCTCCTCGCTCCCTCTCTCGTTCCACCTGGCGCTCCGACCCCCCCCCCGCAGGCAGCTCGACATCAAGCAGTCTGCCGATAGGGTGCTGATCAGGCTGCTGCGGAACTTTCAATTCAGTCGGGTCGAGCAGCACAAGTTCCGGGGCATCCAGGCGCTGGCAATCGTCGTCGGCGTCGTCACCAGAGGTTGCCAAAACAGTTAATACTTCAGGTTGAAAAGCTGGTCAGGGGGAAGCGGCCCTGGAATTCAGGACCCGTTTCCTTCAGGACCCGAGAAGGAGGAGGAGGAGGAGGAGGAGGAGGAGGAGGAGGAGGAGGAGGAGGAGGAGGAGAGGAGGAGGAGGAGAGGAGGAGGGAGCGGCCGTAGGGGGAGGGCGGAGGAGGAGGAGGAGGAGGAGGAGGAGGAGGAGGAGGAGGAGGAGGAGGAGGAGGAGGAGGAGGAGGAGGAGGAGGAGGAGGAGGAGGAGGAGGAGGAGGAGGGGAGGAGGAGGAGGAGGAGGAGGGGAGGAGGAGGAGGAGGAGGAGGAGGAGGAGGAGGAGAGGAGGAGGCGGAGGAGGAGGAAGTAGGGGAGGAGAGGAGGAGGCGGAGGGAGGAGGAGGAGGAGGAGGAGGAGGAGGAGGAGGAGGAGGAGGAGGAGGAGGAGGAGGAGGGGATAGGGGGAGGAGGAGGAGGAGGAGGAGGGAGGAGGAGGAGGAGGGAGGAGGAGGAGGAGGAGGAGGAGGAGGAGGTAGGAGGAGGAGGAGGAGGAGGAGGAAAGCCACGGGCTGAGGAGGGGCAGGGCCGTCGTCGCCTTCGTCGGTCGCCTCCGTCGGCCTGGGCTCGCACTCAGCGAGCCGTCGGCGCCGCAGCCGCGGCGGCAGGTGCCGCCACGCCCCGAGAGGGCTTTTTGACAGATTTTGGCGCTCTCGCCTGTTAGGCTTTCCGACGCTCCAAGACCAAAGAGGCTCCCAAGACCACCCCCAAACGGCCGCCCTAAGATGGCCTAAGAGCGCCCCAAGACGGCCCCAAAAGCGCCCAAGACGGCCCCAGAGGGCCCCAAGACGGCCCCAAAGGGGGCCCCAGAGAGGGAACACGAACCGGAAATCCAAAACTTCCGCCCCAAGGGGCCCCAAGGGGCCCCCAGGAGGCCCCAAGAGGCGCCGAAGACGCCCCAAGAGGCCCCCAAGAGGCCCCACAGAGGCCCCAATAGGCCCCCAAGAGGCCCCCAGGAGGCCCCAGCTCGGCCTCCAAGAGGCTTCAAAGCTGCCTCCAAGAGGCCCCCGAGAGGCCTCTCACGAGATTCCAACGAACATCCACTACGCTCCTCTGGTGTCCCCTCGAGGGAGAGCCGCAGAGTATGCCGGACTGGCACGGTGGCGGGACTTGCCGCAGGCAGCTGGGCAGTTGTTTACATCTATGTCGCAACATCGACTGCTAGAAACACACATTGCACCCGTCCCCTTCGCCTACATACTATTACGAGATACGAGCCGCTGCTCTCGCCGCGATGCGGTGCTACAGCGCTGGCGGTGGCTGGATCACCGTGGTTCAAGGTACGTGCGCTCCTCCTCCTCCCTCTCCTCCTCCTCCTCCTCCTCCTCCTCCTCCTCCTCCTCCTCCTCCTCCTCCTCCTCCCTCCTACCTCCTCCTCTCCTCTCTCCTCCGCCCTCCCCCTACTCTTCCTCCTCCTCCTCTCCTCCCTTCTCCTCCTCCTCCTCCTCCTCCTCCTCCTCCTCCTCCTCCTCCTCCTCCTCCTCCTCCTCCTCCTCCCTGGGCCTCGTGAGAGTTGCTTCGGGCGGGGCTAGGACGAGGATAAGTCCGTTCCAGAGCGCCCCCGAACGCTTTCAGAGCGTTCTGGAACGCCCTGAGAAGGCCGCGGCGCCCGAGACAGCCTCCAGAGCCGCCAGATCCGATAGATTCTCGATATGTCCTCACCCGATTTTATCCTCGTCCTGGCTTCGCCTTACCTGGGCCTCGTGAGGGGTGCTCCGGAGGCTTGTGAGGGGTGCTCTGGAGGCCTCGGTGGCCCCCGTGGAAATTCTGGGGGCACCTCGGGCTAGGGGCACTTCTGGCAACACCCGACCCCTCGCGCGCTCCGCGCGCCAGGCAAGGGGTGTCCATGGGCGCCGACCCGAGACATCTGCGCGGACCTCCGCAAGTCTATGCTTGTGCCGCTTGCTGACCCTTGCGCCCGCGACCGCTGGCGCTGCCGGCAAACGAAGCTTTCCCTGTTGCCAGTGGCCGTTGGCGCCCTCCTCGTGGCGACGACTCTCTGCGCCCGAGGCCGCCTCCGCCCGGGCAGCACCTCCCCGGCTGGGGGACGGCAGGCCCACGGCGGGCAGGGGGGGACGCTCGGCCGCGCGCCTCGGGGGGGGGAGGCAGAGGGGGGGGGGGGGCGGCCACTCTCTCGGAGCGCTCGGGATCACGGGACGAGCATCGGTATCGGCCTTCCGCGTTCCCCCTCCGCGGCCGCCCTCGTCTTTCCCGCTTGCCCGGTCTGCCCCCTGCCCAGAGCGGCCCGCGGGCGGTTCGACCGCGCTGGTGCTCGCCTTGTGTCGAAGGGGTAATGTCTGACGGGGGACCAAGCGGGGGCCTGTGAGAGCCTCACAGATTCCGGATTTGTCCCTTTCAGTTATTGCCTCTTCGGCTGGAGATTTGGCGACTCTGGAGGATGCATCGGTTGACCCCGTTCTAGCCCCGCTCGACGCCCTCGCCGCTGACCAAAGAAAATTCCCTGGTCCTCTTACAGGGCCAGCGCGCCTCGCAGCGCACCCGTCGCCTACCACGATGCCGCCTCAGGCCGACGACGGTCGTTCGCTCGTTCGGTCGTGGATCTGTATCCCTCCCTCCCTCCCTCCCTCCCTCCCTCCCTCCTCCTCCTCCTCCTCCTCCTCCTCCTCCTCCTCCTCCTCCTCCTTGTCCTCCTCCTCCTCTCTCCGCTGTTCACTTCCCTGGAGGCGGCCCTCAGGTGGGAACCGCCACGTGTTCGCTCGCTTCGTTCAGCTCGCTCGCTCCGTTCGGTTCGCTCGATCCGTTCCCCCCCCCCACCAGGAGGATCCTCCAGGGGTGCGCTTCGACCAGGGCCCCAGTGGCGGATCGCGCCGCGGCGACGAGGAGCCTCTCGGAGGTCCCGGAAGGACGCGAGACGCCCCAAGTCCTGGGCCCTCGAGGCTCCATCGGCGCCGCAGCCTCCATCCCTCCCTGTCGTTGCGCTACTCTCTCCGCCGTCCTCGTCCTCGTCGTCCTCGTCGTCCCTTGTCCTCGTCGCCCCTCCTTGTCCTCGTCCTCCTCGTCGTCCCTCCTCCTTCGTCGTCCCTCCTTCCTCGTGCAGCCCCCCTCGTCCTCATCGTCCCTCCTTCCCCACCCTGTTTGAGGCGAAGCAGTGCACCGTCAAGGTGGGCTTCGAGGACCTGGGCACCTCCCTCCTGCCGCCCAAGGCCGCGGCCTGGTCAGCTCTGGGACCAATTGGGGGGGAGGGGCGGGAAGGAGCCAGGCACACCCCCCAGACCCAGGAGGGAGGGCGGGGTGATGATGGTGCTGCTGCTGCTGATGATGATGATGATGCTGATGCTGATGCTGATGATGATGATGATGCTGCTGATGATGCTGCTGCTACTGATGATGATGCTGATGATGATGATGATGATGATGATGATGTTTTCTGGCGAATTCGTATCTTGTCTTATCTGCCTTGTCGTTTCTTGCGGCCGTTTCCACACTTTTGGTGGGGAAGGAAACGGCTTTCAAGAGCAACCGGCATTCGCGTTACGACGGTGGTTCTTGAATCTCGCGGTCCGCTCCCATCTTCTCCCTCCAACAAATGAAGAAGGTGATGATGTTGATGATGCTGACGATGATGCTGATGATGATGATGATAATGATGATGATGATGATGATGATGATGATGATGATGATGTTGTTGATGATGATGATGACGATGATGATGATGATACTGATGGCGATGACGATGATGATGATGATGCTGATGTTGATGATGATGATGATGATGATGATGATGAGGATGAGGATGAGGATGAGGATGAGGATGAGAATGAGGATGAGGATGATGATGATGATGATGATGATGATGATGATGATGATGATGATGATGATGATGATGATGATGATGATGATGATGATGATGATGATGATGATGATGATGATGATGATGATGATGATGATGATGATGATGATGATGATGATGATGATGATGATGATGATGATGATGATGATGATGATGATGATGATGATGATGATGATGATGATGATGATGATGATGATGATGATGATGATGATGATGATGATGATGATGATGATGATGATGCTGCTGATGATGGTGATGATGCTGCTGATGATGGTGATGATGCGAACAAAGCGGTTGTGACAGTAGAAGACAGTGATCTGCAGCTTTCTCGGATCGAGCCCGCCCCGCTCTGCGCGCCGGGCATGCGGTTGATGCGTTGTGGGCCCGCGGCCAGGGCGCGGGCAGTCCACGAGCCTGCGCTTGGATTCGAGGCCTACTCCAGGCCCGCCCCCAGCGGCGAGGGGACCACGTCCGAGGCGGCGGAGGACCCGGAGGCTGTGCCTTGCGCCGTCATACTGGAGAGCACCCAGCGCAGGCCGCCCAGCGGGGCGGCAGGAACCGGAACTGTGGTGCGGGCCACCGCGGCCACTGCTGCGCACTCTGGGCCGCCCCCAGTTTCGGTGAGGACCTCGTGGGTGTGCACGGGGGCGGTGCGATCGCGTGGCAGGCGATCGTGGCCAGGCTCTGGGGCGGCAGATACACCAGCGGGCGTGACCGCCTGTGTCGGTTTCCCTCGGTGGCCGAGGCGGTCGATAAATTCTTCGCGGGGCAGCAGGGCCCCTCCGCCCCGCCCACCCTCTGGGTCTTCGATTGGGCCAGGGCATAATGACAATGCTGCCCTCAGGCAGACGGGGGACGTCCTACTGCGCTCAATTGCTCGTCGAGCTGCCGATAGCAGTGCGAGGCCCGCGTCGTTGGGGCCAAGTTCTTCAAGCTCGACGGCCCCGTCGCAGTCGGTGGCCTCGCAGAGGACGACCTCCGCGACACCGAGCTCGAAGAACTCCTGATCGTGGTGCCCGCCGTCTGTCTGTCTCCCGTACGACGCCGGCTCGCTCGCCTCTGTAGACTGTTTCTTGGTGGCGCTGCGGTCGGCCCTCGGCGGAGAGATGCCGACCGATGTGCACGCGTGAAAGTCTCGCCCGCTTTGTGGGCGAGACTCGCAGAGAGCTGCGCGGAGGTCGAGGTGATCGATCTCTTCGGCTCGGCAGGCGGCGCCGCCCAGCCAGACCTGCTCGAGCTGGCCGAGCTCGCCCCGCAGCCCGAGGACTGGAACGTCGGGGTCCTGCTGCGGCCCGTCGCAGTCCCCGCTCCTGTGGCGCAGGGCGGCCCGAGGCGCGCCGGTTTCCGGCTCTCCGTCGACGGTCAGGTCGACGGGGAGCCGTATCTCGCAGCCGACGAGCACGATGGTGAGGGCGCAGGGGGCGACGAAGTCGAGGCAGTCCGCGAGGCTGCCGCGCAGGAGTGGGCAGGTCGTCCGCGCGTCGCCTACGTGGCGGGCAGCCCGGACACGGAGGGAGAGGGACTTCTGGCGGGCTTTGGGGACCCATGGTCCCGCCCGCCAGAACGGCAGTTGGACAGGGAGGGGGGGCAGCGGTATGAGAGAGAGAGGGATCTGGAGGGGGCTGGCACCACCCTCCGCTCTTCCCTTCTCCTCATGCACCGTCATACACATGGCGATTCTCAAAATGCCTCACCTCGCGCGATTCCTGAGACTCTTTTTCAGTTTTTGGGAGTTGAGATGCTGCGGTCTTCCCCGAGGTGTCGTTGTATCATCGCGACACGCCGCGGAAACGGTGCGGAAGGGGTCGACCCCCCAACCAGCCAAAAAACACATCGCGCGCGCACTCGTGTTCTGCACTGCCAAGTCCTGCGGGACATCGCCCCGACCCTGGCAGAGAGGGCCTGTCGGCCCCGCAGGGTGCTGGCCCGATGCGCGGGGTGGTTCCCTCCCTGCGGGGAAGACCCATCTGCGTATAGCTCAACGTATGGTTCCCTCCTCTTCTGCCTTCTCTTCCTCCTCATCATCATTCTGCCCTTCTCCTCCCTTGCCTCCTCATTCTCCTCCTCCCTCCTCCCTCCTCCCTCTCCCTCCTTCGCATTCCTCCTCCTCCTGTTCCTGCTCCTCCTCTTCTTCTTACTCTTCATCCCCTTCCCTTCCCATTCCCCCTTCTCCTTCCCTCCTCGTTATCGCGGAGGGCAGGGGCTAGCCCGGGGTGGCCGGCCCGCCGCTTGCCCGAGGGCGTCATGAAGTTCGTCAAGAACGGGCCCGCAGAGAAGAAACCTGTCCTGAAG